GTAATCAAGTATCCCATCTGACTTTCTTCCTTAATCCCTATTCTTCTCAGGTTATTTTTGAAGCTCAACCTGTCTTGAATTACATCCAAAGCTTTGATAATCAACTTCAGATCCTTCTTATCCATCTTCTCTTTAGACCGGTCATCTTCATTTAGTTTCAAATTTATCTTTTTCCTAATCAACTTCAAAGTTACATCATAATTTTTTTCTACCTCTTTGAACCTCAAATAACACTTCTCCATTTTACCATTTTGATACACAATTCCAAAATCTCGATCTTTTAGAATCCTAAAAGTTGGGAAGTCTTTAATCTCGGGCAAACTTTGATTGGATTGAAGAAGGTTGACTCTCTTCTAGTTGCTCTTAACTCCCATCTGAAAGTTAGTGATCAAGGAGTACTTAGCTTGTCTTTTCATGAATCTTTTTACTGCATTCAATGCGAAAGTAACATCATGAGGTCTGATTGTCCTCCTCCTCATTTCATGATACAAAAACTCCAAAATCTTCAAGCTCAAGGTGTGTGAAATTAGCCTATGAAAATGACCATTTTTTCCCATCTTGACGTAGAACTTTGAATGTAGGATAGTAGAGAGTATAGAACTTTCTAGCAAAAAAATTTATAGAGATGATTCTTTTCTTTGTATTTACATGCTCCCTCATCTGACACTAGCCTTTGAGCATGTACGTGTATTCTATGATATAATCTTCGTTGAAATTTAGTGATCCCCGAAACTTTCATTGGATCTAATTCCCTCAGAATCTGCTGGAGGAGCTCACCATGCCTGGCGAGCTGGACTTGCACTTCATCGGCCTTGTTGTTTAAAGCATGGATGGCCTAAGTGTTGGCGGTTACCTCCGGTTGCACCATCTTCAGCATATCCTTCACCTCACAAACCTCAACTTTGACAACAGAGGTCGTGGGTGAAATCTTCTTTGATGGGCATCTCTTGGTGGACCTGGTCCATCTTGTCCAAGACAATCACCACCGCAGGGAGGAGGAGCTTGACATCCTCAGCATGTTATAGACATCCATCTCCATGGTTGTGGGCTCCGATGCAGAAGGACCTGAAAAGGAAGGGAAAACTTGAGCATTAAGAGGATCTAAGTTAGAATAAATGAAGGGGTAAGGTAGAGATGGAGTACCTGAAGGGTCCTCAGCACCATACAAAGGATTGACATTGGTGGTCTTAAAATCGCCTTCGAGAGGATAGGCGTCATGTGTCCGAGGCACCTCGTGAGGAGCCACCTCAGGTCCTGTGGTGGGTGCTTCATCATTAGCGGGGACAACCACTGGTGAGTCACTAGCACGTGTAGTAGAGACCATGTGAAAACATGCCCATCTTCTTTGCAAACTCTATAATTTGTATGGATGTCCAAGGATTTTCTCTATCGGATGCTTCTTCTGATAACATTCCCTGCAAAACTTATAACTCCATAAACAAATATTGCCCATCAACATCAAAATCATCACCATTCGTTAAAATAAGTTCAAGATTCAAATAACATATTTTCAACTCATCATCATGTAAACAAGCTAACTTTTTGTTCGTCAAACAAGAAGTCAAAAATAGATTCAAAATCTTTCATTTGTTCAAAACCGTTTTGTTCTCCTAGATGCACGAATGAGGAGAGAAAGAAGCAAACGAGCCAGGGAAAGAAAGGAGAGAGAGTGCTTTATCATACAATATTTGCCTGTTTTTAGTCGGCAATCGCCAGTTGGTTTGGTCCGACCTAGAAAGGAATAGGAGTCTTTTACCAACTTATATTATTTTTTAGGACTTTTCTGTTGTCAATGAATTCTTCTTTTGTTGTACCGATGTCTCGGTTTTAGGAATAACGTAATGAAATTCAACTGAGAAAAAAAAGTAATCAGTTCTAAGTCTCTTGAGCAGATTGTTGTTCTCTCTCAATATTTGGAATTTCATCAAATTGTTTTCTTCTAGAAAAAGAACGTTTTACAGCAAATTTAGGCTCAACTCCAATATCATCTGCAATTTCCTTAGTTTCATTAATAGCACATGTAAACCAATTTTCCTATATTTTTCAAAATAGATAACTAATCCCTATAGATTCCGCACTGCAATATCAAGAAGCATATCTTTGGGCTATAATTTCTTACTGGCTAAATTAATCCTATATAGAACTTCATGCCAAATAACCAAGCTTACAATAAATTCAAAACTCGAAAGCTCACCATTTACCAAAAATTCAGCATCCCTACAAACTTTTTCATCCTCACTTACTTGAGCTAATTGTATTGAAGCATCTTTAATTTGGTCAACTCGAGTTTTAATAGCTTTAACACTTCCAATATGACTTCCCCAACGAGTAGAAGATAAAAGATCTCAAAGTCAAATCGTCAATATATTCTAATAAAACAATCCATCTCTTTGTAAAATTAGAAAACACATTGTATATTGTCTGACAAGTACCAAAAAAATGTGTTTGCTTTATGACAAGATTTACCATATCATATAAAACTAAATTAAGACCATGACAACCACAATGGTCCAACAACAAACCAGTCCTAGTAATTTTTTGTTGGGCCTACAGTTGAACCTACCCATCTTAATAGTCCAAAATAAAAGTGATGCCCCTATGGGTCCTGCTGCCTATAGCCAAAGCCATGACTGCCATGGGACAGGGTCGAGCCTGGAAATAGGCAAAGATATGGATATGGGGGTTAAATTTAAGTTCTTGATGATATTGAAGAATCAACCAAGTTGTTAAAAGCGCGCCTAAGGCGAGCCTAACTCTGAGGTGTACAAGGCTCAAGGTCGCCGGGGGGGGGGGGGGGGGTGTTTAAGTTGAGGAGAGGCATATTCGCGAGGCTCACTAAGGCATTGTGCCTTGGCTGAGACACTTTGTGGCCTAAGGGTGCTTCATAAAGAGTTATTAAGTACCCCGTCAAATCCAAATATTAAATAAGTTTTTGCATCTTCTCATCTCCTTAGACTTCTTATAAAGAAGTTACTAAATAGATGATATAAGTCAAACCCAAATATTAAATACATAACCTTATAACTTCAAGCCTCCTTCTCTATAAATACTCATACGAGAGCAGTAAGTAAATAAGAGAACACGAAAACAGCTGAATCACATGTAATTCACAGGATTATGATTACAACCTGAGGCCGTGTGCCAAGTCGCCCGCTTACCCGTGGGTTGCCCATTTTTGTAATTGCATGTAAAATCACATGTGATTTGACCATTTTTTATTGTTCTCTTATTTTGACCTCTATTGATCCTTCCTTCCTCTCCTTTCTCTCTCTCTCTCTCTCTCTATATATATATATATAGAGAGAGAGAGGTATTATTATGCAACCCTTTACATTTATACAACCAATACAACTTAATCTCAACCGTCCATTTAATTTGATGAATATATGATTTTATAAAAGTTTTGATTGTTCATAATTAATTAACTCTAGTCATCTTCCATAAATATTCAAATCATAATAAATGAACTCTCATTATTTCCATAAATATCTCAATTGATTGAGTTGTATTAGAGTTGTATAAATGAACATGATAGCATTTGAAATATATGTATATATATATATATATATATATTCAGATAAGATGCACATCGCATTCTAAGACCCCTTTGTGTCTAAGTGCGTTGAGCCTTTAGCAACTTTCGAATCAACTCCTATTGGCCTTTTAGATGGAATATTTAGGGACCAAGAAAGGGGCTTGTAGTCAAAAGTTTTCTTTGATAACCATAAGCTAGCTTATTTTCAAGCTTATTGGAAAAACTCTATCTGGATAGCCACAAACTAGTTTTTTAAAAAGCTATTTCAAGTAGCTTTTCGAATACTACAATGTTTTTTTTCCATTTTTTCAATTATGCTTATTATATTGTTCCAATTAATTTTTCTAACATCTCCTTTAAAACAATTTAGATCGCCATCTATCTTATCATCTAGTTTTACCAAACATGATTAATTTATCGGCTAATTTATCAACTTTAGGGCCGACTTATTTGACAACAACGACCTTGTTAGCTTACTTGCCAAACATAGCCTTAGACAACAAAGAGGAGGTTTGAGTTCAAGAATCCCCAACAAGAAGATCAAGGTTAGGGGTGTTCATTTAAATTCCAATAGGATTTTTGATAGATTCGATCTCATCCAATAGTAACCATTTATTGGACGTTGGATTTTTCCTTCCAATCAATGTTCAAAAAGGCAAGACATGGCACATAATAATAATCATTCATTGGATGTTGGATTTTGTCTTCCAATCAGTGTTCAAAAGGCGTATCATGACGTGCGATATGGCACAAGACCAGTATCGTTTCTGTAAGGCTTGACTCGCGCCTTGGCGTCTTGAGGCATGCCATGGCGTCTTGCGGCAAGGCATGGGTTTTTTCTAAGACGATTTTTTTTCAAAAGATTTTTTTTACATGTTTTGTTTTTTACACTTTTATAGATTTAGATTTATCTAATCAAATCAGTGTTTACGAATTCATAAACATCATGGACTCACAATTAAGACGAAGTTGTAAAATTACTTTTATAGGTTATATTTTAAATATTTAATGAAAAACTCTTTTTATTATAATAATCTATATGATATTTCTGTTTCTAACATGAATGTATAATTTTAATACCATATTCGATGAGATTATATATATATATATATATATATATATATATATATAATTTTATATATGACATACAAATTTGTTGCTTTACGTCACGTCTTGAAAAACGACGTGTCCTCGCCGTGGCGTGTAAGGCTTGAGACTTGACCTCGCCGCCACATCACGCCATTTTGAATCTTGCTTCCAATCAACATTGGACAAATGATCCATTTCAGTAGATGATTGGATCTGAATGGTTCCATCTAATGAATGTTACTATTGACTATTCATTGGACCAAATTACAATGGTATCTCCAATTATTGCCCTCTATTTTCAATTGGATCGAATAACCTTCAGCAAACCCCTAAATCAAGTTGTGCTATTTTTTCTAACATCATATATCAATCCAGCTAGGAGAAAAATCATCAATTTATTCGAAGATAAGAAATTCAAAGTTATAATCGAACGACTACGCTAAAATGCGAAAATATTTAAACAACTAACCATGCTACAAAGGAGATAGAAATTTTCGTCATCATTGCAGATCCTTAGAACTTGACTCCCCTCCATTCTTCCACAGGTAATTACAGGAGCCCGATACAAGGAAAGAGAAACTATCTGAGTCTTCAAACAGAGTTCTCGGAAACTCTTGAAACCCATCCATGTTCAACGGTGAAAAACAAGCACTTGGGTCACCACCCATTTGAACCCCAGATCCACCGCAACCATTTGAATTCGGATTGAAGTTGAAATCAAAGAATCCAACTTCTGTTGGCACTTCAAGATTATTATTCCCTTGATCATGTGCACTAACTGTTCCTCCTTTAGGTTCATCCAACTGGAGAGCAGGAGTATGGCCTTGAAAAAGAGAAATGTGCCCAAAAAGCTTATCTTTTCTTGAAAATGTCGTACCACAAGAACAAAGCCATCTATCTCGTCCACAATGCTTTTCGTGTGTTTTAAGATCTGCAATCACCGAGAATTTCTTGGTGTTGCAACGACTACATGTATAGCTTTTATCACAATGGGTTCTCTTGTAATGATTCTTTACACACAAGATTGTCTTCAATGGCTGAAACTTCTTGTGATCTTTATTTCTCTTACAACCAACAAAAGGGCATGAATATCTCTTGATGAGCTTTGGTTCTGAGCCCGTATCTTTGTGGGGTTTGGCTAACGCTGCTGGTGTTTTATACTCGTCTCCATGACCTCTCATATGCATTCTCAAATTGGCATCTCTTTTGAAACCCTTCCCACAAATGACACAAAAATGAGTGTGGGGTGCAAGAATCTCCTCTTTTTCGAGCTGCAAGATTTCATATGATCCAGGAGGAATATTCTCTCCATCATCAACATCATCATCGTCTTTAGACTCGTGTTCTTCATGAACATCCATATGATCACTTTCGTTTGACTGATCTTCCACTTTGTGTACCATGTTCTTATTAGTATAACTATCAATATTATCATTATTATCTTTAGAATTATCGTCACTAGGAAGAAGTCCATCACCAACGGACGGATTTGCGGCGAAATGTGGATGTTTGACTGAAGGAAGAAGGCTACCTGCAGTTGATATCAGCTGAACTATAATTGAAGTCAAATCTGCAGTAACAAGTTGCTGTTGTTGAATCAAGAGTTCATTTGGTTGACCAATTGACGATTTGGCTGTTCGGCCAACGATTAATTGCACCAATTCCTGGAGTTGATGAATCTTTTGTTCCATAATGGAGAGATTAGTTAGCATGGTTCTTGGATCCCATAACTGGGCTTTGTTTTTATCCTCAAGATCTTGTTGAGCAAGGAGTTTGATTTGGGTTAAAGAAGATGGGATTGTTTCCAATTGTTTTCTTATCATTAAATCATAATCTAAAATCGAAGAGTTTTCGTTTTCCATTTGCTGCTGTTGCTGATTATGATCTTGGCAGCTTTCATTGGAGGAAGAAGCCTTTGCCCAGGTGTCTGAAGATAGCTGCTTCTTCCTAGAATCCATTTAATTTCCAGTATCTGCTAAAAAACCATCAATTCATCATTACAATCAAATTCCCATCTACGTGAAGAAGATATCAACTAACAAAGGATTGGTGATTACTGTCATCAAGCATTCTAGTATAGTTTGTGGATTTACAAGAGATCGATGGGGTTTATTGGTTAAGCTACAATATAAGTTAGGAGATGTGGAGTGCATGCTTGTATAAGCTACCATGGACCTAAGATTTCCATAAAGTGGGGCTCAGAAGCCGTGTAGCATTTTGAACTTCACTTCGGATAGCGGGACTTGGGTTCGAAAGGCAAGCCGCCTGCCTTCTGAACATTGGTGCAATACTTGGCCACATCAAATCAACAGGCGAATAACTATCTATTTAAAATGATTTTCAATCTCATTTTAACATGCGAAAACCTAACGATATGGGTGGTTTTGCTCTCGATTTAGCCTAAATCTTGAATACAAATCTGGATTATCTTGAAGTGAATTTGGTGAATACCTAGGGCTGGAAAAGGGTCGAAATACTACTTAAGGACAGTGATTCTTCAGGATCCAGATTTTAGATCCAACTCAATTTCATCGATATCTAATCCATATACCCAGATTTCTAACACAAAGATGAAAAAGTGTAACAGGAGAGATTTACAACCCCTTATATAAATTTTCTCACACAAGGATACAACTTACTAAAAAACACAAGGATCCATAACCATACAGCATAAAATATCGAAGATTGACAAATGGAGTATATTAAAATGTTAATCGTCAATCTAACATACCAAGTTCTTCATAAAACCTAAAAAGAATCCCAAGTCAAATTGCTGATGAAATTTTCACCATCAATCTTAATGAAAAGTCAACTACAGATTTCGATTGCACATTCATACCAAAATCTTAGGTCATTGCATCAAACTTGTGAAGACACAGTTGATTAAGCATACGGGAAAACATACGGAGTAAAAATCAAACGCAGAAATCAGAATCAAATAATGAACAGTTGAAGTTGAAGTAAAAATAAGCAAAGGAGAAAATCAAAGAAATACAGAAATAGGAGAGGGTTTTACCAGATTGAAGAAGCTTCCTCCATAACAGAGGATGAAGCAAGGGATTGAGGGTTCGAATGAAAGGGAAAAAAGAAGAGGCGAAGGTGTGAAATCCGGAATCTCAGTTTTTGGGATATGAAAAGAAAAGATGTCCCAAGTAGTCTGTCTACGTCACAAAAATGGCGATGAATCAGGACCGTTAAAACATCCATCTGTTCCTATCAATGGTCAATGATGTAATAAGGAAGCGGTTTGGCTTTCTCAACCTCGTTCATCCAGACTCCTCCCAACGATTAGCATCAATAAATGAAGCTGGTTGCTATGTTATTTCAATCTTTTCACGAGGGACCTACCATTTTCAATAACTTGTTTGAGAATTGTTGAATGATTTGGTGTAAAATAATTAAATGAACAAAATGATTAAAATGATTAAGAAATTCTCATGATACAGTGTAAAATGAAATATAATTGTTCGGTAATTGTTTATAATGAAATTAAGTCATAACTAAGATAATTAAATTAAACATTTATCGCTAATATGAGATTAACATAAATATTAATATAAATAGTCTAGGCCATTAAGATATAGCAATTTTCTAATATTCTCCCACTTGACCGTATGACTATTTATATAAATAATAAGTTGGCCAAGTGCTAATCTCATTAGTCAATCATAATTAAAGTAAAAGTATTGAAGCAAAATGATATAATCTTACATGTCACCAACGAGATGGGATCCCTATCAATCATATTTTCAGTACTCCTACAAAACAATGATCAAAATTATTAGTGGTTGTCTTGTTTGCTCATTAGAACAATTAGTGTTAACGTATTATTAGAGCAAACATAAGTAACATAATGTGAAAGATAGATAGGTAAGCGCTTACTTTGATATATATAACTGAATATTTCGTGACATCAAGCAAGGCTAACTCTTAAGCCCATATTATTCACATGCTCAATAAACGTCTTAGGCGGTAATCCTTTAGTGAGAGGATCCGCCAACATGTCACTCATACTAATATATTCCACAGTTATGCATTTTTCTTCCACACGTTCTCGAACAAATAGATACTTAGTGTCAAGATACAATTTGGCACCACTTGAGTTGTTGTTGTTTGAAAAATTCACTGCAGCACTATTGTCACAATAAAGTTTCAATGGTCTTGAGATGGTCAACAATTTTTAGTCCACAAATTAAATTTCTCAATAACATAGCTTGACATGTAGCATGGTAACATGCTACATATTCGGTCATCATGGTCGAAGTAGTGGTCAACTCTTGTTTATGACTCCGCCAAGATACCGGACCACCTGAAAACATGAATATGTACCCCCCGAAGTTGATTTCTTATCATCTTTGCATTTAGCAAAGTCGGAATCTGTATACCCTACAACTTCAAGGGAATATGTTCTTTTATAAATGAGCATGTATTCTTTTGTTCCCTGTAGGTAACGTAATACTTTCTTGGCTGCTCTCCAATGGTCTAAACCCAGGTTAGATTGATAACGACCAAGCATGCCAGTAGTGTATGCTATATCGGGTCGAGTACAGACTTGAGCATACATTAAACTCCCGACAATCAATGCATATGGAATTAGTTTCATTTGATCACGTCCGGCCTCAGAATTAGGCAATTGATATGAGCCAATTTGTCACCTTTTACAACAGGAGCGACAGACGGAGCACAATTTTGCATATTATACTTATTGAGAATATGGTTTATATAAGCCTTTTGAGATAAGCCTAATATATTATGCCTTCTATCTCGATGAATTTCAATGCCAATTACATAAGAAGCTTCATCAAGGTCTTTCATATCAAATTTATTTGACAAGAACCGTTTAACCTCAAATAACATGTCTTTATTATTACTAGCAACCAATATATCATCGACATACAAGACTAGTATAGTGAAATTGCTCCCACTCATCTTGAAGTATATACATTTGATCAATTGAGTTCTTTTTGAAGTTGTAATTTTTCAAGACCTCATCAAATTTTAAGTAGCATTGCCTTGAAGCCTGCTTTAGCCCATAAATTGACTTGTTAAGTTTACATACTAGATGTTCACTTCCCTCAACCTTAAAACCTTCTGGTTGAGTCATGTAAACATCCTCATATAAGTCGCCATTTAGGAACGCAGTTTTGACATCCATCTGATGCAACTCTAAATCAACATGAGCTATCAATGCCATAATTATTCTAAAAGACTCCTTTCTCGACACAGGTGAGAAAGTTTCCTTATAGTCTATTCCTTTCCTTTGAGTAAAACCCTTAGCTACCAATCTTGCCTTATAACGCGCAACATTTCCTTTAGGGTCTAGTTTGGTTTTATAGACCCAGTTACAACCTACAGGTTTTAAGCCCTTAGGTAGTTCTGTAAGTTGCCAAACGTTATTAGTATGCATAGAGTTTATCTCATCATTCATGGCATCAAGCCATTGCTTTGAATGAACACTATTTTTGGCCTCATTAAATGTATTTTGGTCTTCAAATTTTCCCAAGTCATAGTCGACCTCATTTAAGAAAGTGACAAAGTCGTTGTAAGTGGTAGGCTTTCTAGATCTTTGTGATCTCCTTAAAGGCTGAGTATCTTCCACAACTTCATTATTAAGTGAAGTATCTTCATGTGATGGTTCAGTCTCAATGTGAGCATCCTCAACTGTATTATTTGATGTTGATGCAATGCTCTCACTGGGAATAGAAATGGGCACAAGTAAAGTAGGAGTGCTATCAGGCACCATTTCTTCATACAAGTCAACAGCTCTCGAACCATTACTCCCACTCAAATTTGCATTTTCAAGAAATTTTGCTTGCCTAGTTTCCACTATTCTAGTGGTATGAGACAGAGCAAAGAAACGATGCCCCTTAGACCTTTCAGGGTAACCGACAAAATAACAAGTAATGGTTTTAGGGTCCAATTTTTTGATTTGCGGGTTGTAAAGTTTGGCTTCAGCCAGACATCCCCAAACTTTAAAGTAGTTTAATCGTGGTTTCCTTCCCGTCCATAATTCAAAAGGTGTCTTAGGAACACATTTTGAGGGAACAGGATTTAGGATGTGTACGGCTGTTTTAAGTGCTTCTGTCCATAAGAATTGCGGAAGAGATGAGTTTGCTAACATACTACGTACCATGCCCATAAGGGTACGATTACGCCTTTCCGCAACCCCATTTTGTTGAGGTGTTCCTGGCATAGTAAATTGATTAACTATGCCATGAATCTTGCAAAAGTCAACAAATGGTCCAGGAGCTTGACCCACATCCGTGTGTCGACCATAATACGCAGCACCTCTGTCCGATCTCACTACCTTTATTTTACAGACGAGTTGATTTTCAGCCTCGGCTTTAAAGATCTTAAACATATCAAGAGACTCGGACTTCTCATTAATTAGGTACAAATAAGTGTAGCGTGAATAATCATCTATAAAAGTTATAAAGGACTTATAACCACCTAAACCGGGAGGAAAAGGTCCACATATATCAGTGTGAATAACATCAAGTAAACTTGAACTCCAATTAGACTCTTTCTTATTTTTATTTACCATCTTCCCTTTAATACACTCGGTACATGTATCGAAGTCTGAGAAATCAAGATAATTAAGAATTTCATCTTTCACAAGACGTTGCATTCTTTCTTGTGATATGTGGCCTTAAGCGTTTATGCCACAATTTTGAGGAACTCTCTATATCTCTCTTTCTTTTAGTTCCATGGCTACATTCATTTATATTCATAGTAAGTAATGATTCCGAAAATTTATCATCAAGATTTAATTTAAAGAGGTTTCCCTCCATCACAACGAAACCAACAATCTTAGAATTATAATACATAATCACTTTATTATCAATAAAGTTGAAATTGTATCCAATAGTAGTAAGTTTAGATACATATATTAAATCCCGAGTTATACTCGGTACATACAAGGTATCTTGAAGATGTAATCTATTTCCACCTTCAAGTAATAATGAAACGATCCCTATTGCTTCCACCTTGACTTCATTTCCGTTCCCAACTTTAATGGTCCGTTGATTGTTTTCCAATGTTTTCTTTATACGGAATCCCTGTAAAGAATTGGTCACATGAATCATGGAACCTGTGTCAATCCACCAAGTATTGGAAGGCACACTAATAGAAAATGATTCACAAATCATATAGTAAAGGAGTTTACCTTTCTTAGTTAGCCACTCTTTGAATTTAGGGCAATCATGTTGAGTATGATCGAATTGTTTGCAAAACCGACACCTAACTTTGCCATTCGTTCCACTTGTACCCAGACTGTTCTTTTGAGCCCTATTGGGAGTAAACTTACTTCCCTTACATGGACCCTTTCCTCTTATTGGTCTTACTTGATGAAGCCATGATCACTCTTAATAATCTCTTTGATGTCAATCAATTATGATGGAGCTACAATTTTCTTATTGTGTTAAAGTCTCCACAATAAATGGTGCATTCAATTCAAGAAGAATGAAGGAGACGATATGTATATATTGACATCAAGAGGATTAAGAAAGAGATAACCACAAAATATAGTTATTTACAGTCGGTTACAGGGACCGGTATCGTCTATCGAGATAATCGAGAGGGCCTGTATGTAATTAAGTCATAACTAAGATAATTAAATTAAACATTTATCACTAATATGAGGTTAACATAAATATTAATATAAATAGTCTAGGCCATTAAGATATAGCAATTTTCTAACATTTTTTTATGTCAAACAATATTTATTTCTTAATAGTTCAGAGGTTGCCTCTTAATGGAACTATTAAGAGGTAAACAAACAACCCTCGATTGACCTGGTGCACAGCTGATAACTCTCATTTTGAGTGTTATATTCATTTGTCTATGTTTTTCTTCCCTTTTAATGTGTGTCTCTCGTATATGTGTTCGTGTTTCTCTATTTTATTTATTTATTTTCATTTTAAAGTTGTTGATGATAATCGTTTGTGTTTTGACGCTTGAATGCATTGTTTTGGGTTAAATGTTGAACTGTGGAAAGTTGCCACTTTCTCGCCATTGTAGTAAACAACGTAAATCCAAGAACAACTGAAAAAAATCATTTTTTGTATGATTTCTTCTGCCTATTTTAGCTGCATTAGGGCATTTTTGAAGGTCAAACTCTAGAGACCAAGAAAGATGAAGAAAAAGACAAAATCAAAACTCATATCTTGGTGCAAGGATTTGTTTACCCAAAATTTCTACCTAAAGATTTAAGGAGAGAAAGCAAGGATTGAGCTTTCATGAAAGAGTGGAGGAAGAAACAAACCAACCTTTGGGTCAATGGATGTTTGAGCTCTTTGAAAACTTAGATAGAGGCCTTGGACTTTAACTCAACACGGACAAGTTGATCACTTGTAAGTATTAATATTAAATCTTAGACCTAGAGATTGACGGATCCGGAAATACGGCTTGAGTGATGCAAGAAAGATTTGAGAGAGTCTTTTGTAATAACGTAGAAATACAGGTTTTTGCATAATTTTAACTAAGGTTTAAATGTCGGTCGATATTGGTGTCACAAAGAGATTTAGGCATTTATTTCCATACTGGTAGAGCTACGATCCTTAGAAGTCGAGTTAGTTAAATCGACAAATCTTGAGTTGACAAAAGTGGTAACTTTGTGGGGACAGATGACCACTTTATGTGAGAGTTTACTTTCGAAAGAATGGGACTCTTATAAATGCTCTTGTGACACTTATTTCTAATCATGAGGTTACTACAAATGTCTTAGATAATGCTTATACTCATATCATTTTCTTTAAACTAATAGTCTTTGCTTAATTATTAAAAGCCAAACTTGCTCACATGTATTTTTTTTCTTCTTTAATTGAAATCATCGTATTCTAGATCTACTACTCGAAACTTTGAAGTCCAATCCTTGTAGATACGATATTGGTATTTTACCATTTAATTACTTATAGCAATCATAGTGTTTGATGTGCACTTGCACCGCCAATGTGGCAACACAGGTTGCCACTTTGTGGACCTATACGATTTCTGCTATCAAGAGTCTTTGGGGCCTTTATAGGTCCACCCCTAGTTTTTCTCATAATTTTTAAAATTAATAAGTAAAAGATAAAATCTTGAAACTAGTCTATAAAACATAAAATTTACAAAACTGATCACTATAGCTTGCATTTTGATTTGAAAATGATCCATTGCAACTTTGTTAAAAATCCGAAATAAATGCGCAACCACGATAACCACCAATATTTTAGACCAATTATTTCAATTTAGGGATTGAAAATTGATACAAAATGTGAACCACAAAGACAAAAAGTGTAATTTACTCAAATTTCTTTGAACTGATAAGCATATTCAAAACTTTGAGATTGTTTGTTTGAACATAAAAACTACAATAATGGTCCTTACGGTTTGAATTTCACTTTGAAAGTAGTCTCTTGCATTAATCTGTACTATATTATAAAACATTTTACAAAAACTATTAAAAACAATTTTTATGCATAAATTATTATTTATTGATGCATATTACTTAAAATTTAATATTACAAATAGAATGTGCATCAGTACATTATATTAGAATGTGCATGAGTACATTCTTGTAGTTATTGTGTTTTACGAACTAATTTTAAAGTTTTGAACAAATAAAATAGACCAAAATTATAGTTTACTCTAAATAATATAATATAAAATAATTGTTCAAATAATTCTTATAAAAAACAGAATTCATACAAATTTTATCAAAATTAGACAAACGTTATTTTTTATTTCTGTTTTGAAAAATCTAGTTTTAAAAGTTTTATTTTGATGTCTGCGACAAAAATAACATCTCAACAACTTATACTTTTCTACAAAAGTCTTTATCAACTTATTATAAGTTAAAATGGTTTAACTTATTATAAGTTAAAATGGTTTAACTTATTCAAAAACTTTTTACTACTGGCACCTGTGTAACCTGTTATCCAAACACTCAAAAGTGCTTATTATCAGTGTCACACAAGAATAAGTCAATAAGTTGGTTTTATAAGCAATCTCAAACACCCCCTAAGTTGTGATACTTTCTTTTTTTTCTTTACAGTTTTATGACATGTTTCCTTGATTATATCACATACAAATTACAAAATGTGTTTTGTAAAATGAAGTTTTAAAACTACGTTACTTAAATTGCAGAACAAAGCAAAACATGTTCATTTTTTTCAATGTATTTTGTAATGATTAAAAAATATCTTTTTAAAAGATTGTAAGAAGTAAGGATGCAGTCGATTATTCGGTTTTTGGTTTATTCTGTTCAGGTCACTTTTTTTCAACTTTTTCCGTACTATCCAATAACTTAACCGAATTAGGTTTTGTTATATTCTCTTTTAGTTGCAGATAAGTTACTTAATTTTGGTTTTCTTACAGCATAAGAACATAACGGATTATTTAAACGCTTACTCGGGTAAGTGAATATCAAGTTATTTTACCTTACCGGATGAATATGAAAATGACCAAAGGTCTTACCCGGTAAGTGAAGGCGACAAATCTTACCACGGTAAGCGCTTACAGGGGAAATTGTTGCATACGATACCGTTTTGGTGGACTAAAATCTTATCCGGTAAGTAAATGATAGTGTTAAATTTACCGGTAAGCACTTACCGGGTAAGGGGCTGTTTGTTTGGCTCTTAATGGTTACATTAAGAGCCAACCTCTTAATCGGTAAGAGGTTAGGTCTGTTTGGCAAAATAAAAACAACCCTCTTAATGGTTACAATAACCTCTTAACCATTTTGCATCTACTACCTCACTCAACCATTTAGATCGTTCTTTTTCCAATTTTACCCTTCCCACCCCTTCTTTCCATCTCGTCTCTTCACGCAGGTCGCAGAACTACCGGTCACCATCGCCAGCTTCGCCGGTCACCTCCACAGCTACTACCGGTCACCATCGCGGTCGCCATCGCCATCGCCGGTCACCTCCACAGCTTTGCCGGTCGCCATCGCCATCGAGTTGCAAACCCTAACATCTCTGTTTTCGCCCCTGCTGTTTCTCCATCTCGATTGAGCCCTAACGGTGAAAACACATCGCTAGTCTTCACAGCCCCTCCCCCACCCTCTCGTCGCCAGTCTTCACAGAGGGAACTTTGAGAGGAGATCGATTGAGGGAACGATGGAGGGATCGATTGAGGGAACGATTGAGGGGCAACGATTGAGAGGATCGATTGAGGGGCAACGATTGAGAGGATCGATTGAGAGGCAACGATGGAGGGATCGATTGAGAGGCAACGATTGAGGGATCGATTCTTCACAGAGGGAATTTTGAGGGAGCCCTAACGGTTAAAATGGAATAATGGGTTTTTGTTAGAGAGGGTTAAAATGGTAATTTATTATCATTCACAGAACAGTTACCAAACAACATTATTTCATTCAGCACTTAACCATTCTGACCTCTTAACTATTCTGCACTAAATCATTCAGCAACTGCCAAACAGCCTCTAAGTGTTTGTATCCATAGTTTATAAGCATTTTTATGTACAAAAAAATATTCTTATTTTAAAAGTGATATTTTTAAAACATGTCATAAGATGATAGATTTTAAAAAAATAGTAAAAGAAGGTGATTTAACAATATAAGCTAACAAGTTGTTGTTGGAGTCAACATGCACATGACTTACTACAAGATCCAACTGTAGTACCAGCTTCCAGGCAGCTACTAATTGTTTGCAATGCACAAGACACCATTTAACACAAGACACATGAGCTCTCCAATAAATTTCAATTTTTTAACAATCTTTTGTAAAAAAATGATATTGACTTTACATATTTTAGAATTCCATGAGATTAGTCGACATGCTTGTAAGTTGATCTAGACCCCACACTTGTTTGCAGTTGTTGAATGGTTTGGTGCAAAATGATTAAATGGTCAGAATGATTAAGTGACTCTCATGATATAATTGTTTGGTAATTATTTACAACGAAATTAGGGCTCTGAATGATTAAGGGAGACCCATGATACAAAATCATTCAGAGGGTTTTAGAACCGTTAAGAGGCAGACCTCTTTTTTTTGCCAAACAAGATTCTCCTCTCAACGATTCACAAGCCGTCTCTTAATGGAATTATTAAGAGGTAAACAAACAACCCCAAACCATTATGCTTGTGTATGATTCTTTTTGTTCAATATTTATACGAGATCGATTTCATAATCCTTAACTGTTTCTAGAACTTATTTCGTAACCAACGCATTTCTTAATAGAGCACTTATTTTATTCAGACGTGTATATGCAGTAGAAATTGTTTACCCCAAAAAGATAAGAGCGACTTTTTCCATGAAAACCCTCGGACTCGGTGTAGAAATTGTGAACATAACAAAGAGTAAGCAGTAGAAAAAGAAGATTGTTTCAAGAGCTTTAAGCAAGTTCCCTATAACACAACAAATTTCTCAAAGCTATAATTTTTGAATTATAAAGCAAAAAGGACATGATAGAATCATCTCTGCTTGGACTTAAGAGGAACTCCTTTGTACAATTGCACTTTTTCTTTCAAGGCATCTCGCCTGGGCCGTGCGATCTTGTTGTTAGGATCGAATAGCAGCGCTTCCTCGAATGCATTTAGAGCCGATTTGTATTCTTTTTTCTTCTCGTAGGCATCACCAAGGTTGTTCCATGCTGTCACGTACCCTGGCTGAATCTTCACAGCCGTTTCGAGCTGAAATATTCCCTTGTCGGTTTTCCCATCACGAACATAGCTAACACCCAAAGCATTGTGAACCTGAAACGATTCCAAAACAAAAACATCGAATGACAAAACTTCTGCTTCCGTGTTGCAAAATAAGTGTTCATATTTCTATTATAGTTTATCCTAAAATAAATGTCCACTTGCGAAAGTAAGTACCTACTTTCCAATTCTACCCTTAAGTACTCCCTTCTATTATTAAGGATAAAATAGTCATATTGTTGATTAAAAAGTGTAATAAGTATACATTTCTAGAACTATGTGGATTTTTCATTGTGGCCATTTATTTTGGGACGGAGGGAGTAGTAGGTTTCATGCCTTCGTTGTTATGTTCTTGACCATGTTAGTGCTATTGAGGTTGATTCAATTGGCTGCGTTCTTGTTTAGAAAAACAACGAGTATAATGTGTCCAAGGGGCATGAACAACAAATATAAGTGTGTATACATCAAGGCAAGTTTCTCGCATGTGTCAGCGGTAGGCATCTGGAACTGAGGACTACCAGTTGTTGCTGACTCGCACTGATTTACCTCCCTATGATGGCTTAAGACTAGTATGGTGGGGATGCCCCTGAGGGTGGCGTATACCCTTTTTTACATTGAGGGAAGTAGTCCTTGCATGTTGCCTCAACAATGTAAGAGGACTACCAACCAGCTATTTACCTACTCTCCCATGATGGGCATAAGACTAATGAGGTGGGTCCCTCCAGATGGTGGCATACAACCTTTTTGTACATTGAGGCAACTTGTCCCTGCGTGTTGCCTCAGCAGTAGGATGGTAATTGGTAGGCATCCAGAAACAAGGACAACCAGCTGCTGCTCCCCCACGATGGGCGTGGGACCAGTGTGGTGGGGGTTTAGGGGTGTTACCTCAGCAGTAGGATGGTAGGCATCGAGAAACAAGGACCACCAGCTGCTGCTTCCCCACGATGGGCGTGGGATCAGTGTGGTGGGAGTTTAGGGGCGTTACAGAAGGTGGCGTATGCCCTTATTTTATATGGAGGGCAGTTGTAATACCTGGGCAAGATCCTGGTCATCTCCATCCCATTTATCGATTGCTTGAAGCAAGTACTTTGTGGCAGCTGGATAGAATTTCCTTCTTAACATCACTGCTCCAAGTTCAAATAGCTCGGTTGCACTTGCATCACCACTCCTCACTTGCTCCTGAGATTTACCAACCAAAAAGGACAGATTATGAGATGATTAAATGTAAAATAGAGTAAGTCTAATTGTTATGATATTGTGGATAAGTTTTTGTTTACTGATGTATAGCTCATGGTATATATCTATTGGAGGTTAGCGTATAAGATGGTCATAGGGACCAGATATTGTGAGAATATGTAGGGCCCCTTTTGATCAATCTCTAAAAGAGCCCTTGTAAAGAGAGAATGGTTAAGTGTTGTATATATTGATGTGTGTACGGTTGAGACATTGTACAAACTCAACTGCACCCTTGGTGGCATGTGTCGACTGTACTTACAGGTCCATAATGTATATAGTATTAGCATCTGGTTCTATTCAATCTCCATCTTTGGTATAAAACAAGGATGCTTTTGTTGTAAACTTGATGCTAAACAAGCAAAAGTTGGTGTCCTAAGAATCTCTAGCTTGAACACACAAAGATGTTTTTACTGTACAAGACAATATTCTAACAACATATAAACATGATGATTCATAAATATAATAAGCATCCAACAAATGTAAGAGACAGATGACACCGAGATTTACGTGGAAACCCAAATCAGGAGAAAACCATGGGTGGAGGAGACCAACGAGAGAAATCCACCATTAGAAGATGAAGATTACAATGCTCTTGAAGGAGATAAACTAAGACTATGGTGTGTGTAAGTATCTTGAGATAAAGAGATAAGATGAGGGGATAGCTAAACATGTTCATTTCATGGAATTTTACTCTAGGAGCTTCCTCTATTTTGAGAATACAACAAAGAGAAAAATGGAGGAGTAATCCATTTGGATGAAAGGCTTGGTTGTCAAAATACAAGTCTTCAAGCAAAAATCTCCCTGAAAAATGTGGCCCATGAAGCAAGGTTGCTTAAGGGCGAATCCACAAAGTAAAGGTAAAATAGATTTGCTAAATATTGCCTTGGAAACTGGTTATGAATAGTACGCGCAACCGCTTGCCAAAAAGTGGGGCGGCCACACCAACTCCACAAAAGTTTCTGCCCTAGAAAAGCATACCACTTGCAACCGTGAGTGAATAAGCCATGTGATAGCAAGGCATCCTCTGAACTTGACTATCGAGGCACCATTTAACGGTCTTCATATTCCATCAGAAAGCGATATTTGTTCTGGGGAGTTGGGGGCTACTTTTCTTCTATATATGTCAAGCACAATACCATGATCATGAGGTATCTTTCCTCTTTGCCCGATATGTTGTTGTAGTGGAGCAACTGATCACATAAAATATTGGAGTAGAACATTAAAATGCCATATAGCATTAGCTAAAGTATCAAAAAAATATTAGGAACCCCATAAGATTACCATACCATCTTAGAATATGTGGAATCACAAAAAGAGCCTTTGAGAAAAGAAGGGGGTTCCAACATATACTCGAGAGAAAGTGTCCAAGTCTAGCCGATGTGGGATACTAAGGATAAGGAACTCTCAGAATACCCTCCAACTATGCAACCCTGGGGAATGGCAATTTTATGCAACTACCCCCACTGACTGGTGGTTGATTAGACATATGACATGTACAAGATCCACACTAAATTATTCATGGCAAAGGGCAGGTATGGATTTCACAAACTCTCCAACTCATAAGTTGTTTACCAATTAATTTCTAGTTTTATGTGAAATAGAAAATTAAAATAACTAGAGTAATTGGGATATAACTTGTCTATACATTTTCTACTTTTCAATGTACCCATTCCTTACTCTTTTTTATACTTACACCTAGAGTAGACATACACTGGTCAAGTCTAAACAACCCATTCCTTACTCTTTTTTATACTTACACCTAGAGTAGACATACACTGGTCTAGTCTAAACAACGTTACTACCCCCATTGAGACACCTTGTCCTTTTTGTTGTATGAACTCTCATACTCAGGCAATTTCTTCCATCAAATTAGCACCTCTTTGTGGGCGGAAAATGCACCTGGTTTTATAATCAGCTTCTATTGTTGATCAATTTTGATGGGAGTGTTGGGATTAGCATGTCTGTGATCTCCAATGACCTCCTTAACCACGATACATGGAACATGGTCGGGATGTATAGTCAAACTTTATGCTTTCCTGTCCACAGGCATAGTGATAGCATTTGTGATGCCTAAGGAAGTTTTCTTCGAGCAACTTTCTGAGTTTATCTAGGAATTGATCAACCTTGTGGTACTCTTCATACTTTTGAGTTCTTGAATCTTGTTAACTCAAGGACCTGATTTTAGCTTTCTAGGGAAGATGTAACTTGTCAATGGGTTCAGGGATCCATATCATTGTGAGTTCTCACCAATTTGAGGCAATCGAGCCACTTAAACCAGGGTATCAAGCCTTTACTCACTAGGCATGCCCCTTGGGTTTACTAATTGAACATAATTGTGAATATGACTCGCTCTCTGCTGCATAAAAAGAGTACACATCTGATTTTTTAACTCCAAAAATGGAAAATATAACTTATTAGTCAATTATACAAACAGGAAAATCTCGGTGTTCAAAAATAAAAAGGTTCATAAAAACAAATGTGGACTCTAGTTTTGACAGGAAGGAGTATCAGTTATCAATGAGTGGCATATTAATAGTAACATAAAATATGTGGCTCGTAACTTCTTGTCTTGAAAAATACAAACATTAACAACAAGGATGATAGCAAAGTAGGAATAAAGGAGACGGAAATAGCAGGTGCATACCTGCAACTCTTTTGCAGAAAGATCAAGTTCTCTGCGGACAAGAACTTGACGGATCACGAAAAAGGTCCCAACACCAAGCAGCCCTAACAACAAAAGAAGGTAGGATAGCTGGATCCCTAATTCGAATAACTCCCCAACCTCATAAACAGGGTTCATTTTCACATATTCACTTGCTGCTACTGGATTTGCCCATGTCAACAAAGTCATTGATCCACTTGAAAAGACTGCCATACTAATAGTATCTTTTTCTGAGTTCCTTGCATCTTTGTCACTGGGTGATTCTACAACACAACAAATGGATTCGGATGAGATGACTACATGCAGGGAACATTAAAAAAACCACCAAGACCAACGTTCCACAGGTTTCACTTCTATTTCCAATAAAAATAATATCTTTGGAAAAGATTGTTCCTTATTATTGGCATATCTACTAGTGGGACTTTTTCAATATGTCCAAATGACTATTTTACATTGCTGTAAGGTAAAACTTCTAGAAAAAATGGGAAAATGCAAGACAATAGATATTAGATAGTGATTACATAGCAGACATACTTGTCCTTACACCGACAGCCAAAGATACACACTGCATATCAATATATTGCAGCCAACAGAACATAGACTTGACACAAGAATATGATCAAGTTTAATAATATATACGAGTAACTTCAGTTTATACATTAATGAAACTAAAACACAAGACTCGTTCAAACTTCAGTTTATGTAAAATACTCTGATTTCAAAACTTGATGGTTATCATTCATGCATGTGAGGATCATGTTTTAACTTTTATCAGTGACAGGAATATTTGGTTCTTTACATGTAACATATTGGAGCATAGTTAACGAAAATGTTTGAGTACGAATCAAATGTCCAAATTGCCCCTTGATGAGGACAATATAAAGAAAATGTGTGGATCACAATAGGAAGGGGAAAAAAGTGAAGCAAGTTTAAAAACACACACAAAAAGGAAATGTTGAATTCTTTTTCGTATAACCCAAGATGGAAATTGCAGCATTCTTTTGGGGACAAAGGGAATAAGTTATATGGAAGTATGGTTTCTTGACCACTTGCGGTTTACAAAATGTAAGAAACATTCATCAAACATTGTTGGATTTGTACAACATGATGAACCCAGACCTACCAATTTGAATGATGCAGCTATAGGGACTTGAATACCAAGATGGCAGGATAGGTAGAAGCTTTGATCACACAGCAAAACATTATACATTTACATGTAACAAAATTATTGCAGTTGCAACACAGAATCATTTAGACTTATGGTAACAGATGGAGCAACCAAATTACCATCAAGGTTTGCTAAGGTCAGTGTCCGTAAAGCTCCCAAATCTCTTCCACATGTCTGTTTAAAGGTATGAAAGATAAAGTTAGTATCTATGACAAAATCATGTGAGTCCATTAGAACAGCCATCCTTCATATGATTCCCTAAATAGCATTTTCAATCTAAATTAGAATTAAAAAAGTAAAATTAAGTTTAATGGCAAATGAACTTCTCGAAACCACTGCGAATGCTAAATAAGAAAATCGAAACAAGCTTTTGGTACAAAGGAATTTGAAAGAAATATTTACCTCTCTCTATTTCTATGTGAAAAGCTTCCTTTTTATTATCCAAACACAAAATTGATATGGATTTTGTTGCAATGTCAATACCAAACTTATGGCATCAGTTTTACTCGCTGTAGATTTTAATGAAATTAGCAATTAGATCTTGAGAAGTTCGTAATGATTAGCAATTTGGAATCCGGAAAAGCTAAGTGTACAATTAACACAGTTTTCGACAAAATTAATCAACATCATGGAAATGAAGCATCATTATAGCACAAGTTCAAAAGAATCAAAATCATACAGAAAGCAAGAGTGGAAGAAAGAGAGTAACCTGAAGGGAGAGATGTTGACGAGTTAAGTTAATCTTGATGGGAAGTTTTCGAGGCAAATTGGCGGGAATGAAGAGCGAAGCGTGAGAGCCAATTAGTGGGATTTGCTTCAAAGGAGGTGAAATTCGTGATTGGAGGATCATCGTTTGTTCTTCAACAACAATGGAGAAATGGTGGATGGAGGTGTTAGAATTTGTGAAGATAAGTTTATCTACATCTCCTGTTATTTTTTTAATTTTTAACCTGGTCAACAAAAAGGAGGGAATGACATTAAAAGATAAAAGAGTAAATTACAAATTTAGTCCCTATGGTTATTAAATTTTTTGGATTAGGTTCTCTAAACAAAATAATTACACGTATGGTCCACATAGTTTCACTTTTGTTAGATTGAATCCCTTGCCTAAACTCCACTAACCGGTGCTCTGTTAAGTCAAGAGTAGCTCACCATCCCGACGTCGGTGACCACAGCGAATTACCCGACTTAACGAAGCACCGATTATTTACAGTTAAGCAAGAGCCTAATCCATAATTGTTAAAATACATGTATAAATCACAATCTTGACTTTCTCTAACTTAACTTTATGTCCTTGTTTGTTACTATGTTAACAGAAAAGGGTAGATTGTGTCAAGTTTCAAAGGTCTAGCTGGTTGACATATCAAGAGGACTGCGCCTCACTTTTGAAGATAATACAAGGGTAGCGGAGCACATCTAATAAACTTGAAGGGGAAATTCTGTCAAAGTTTGAAAAATATATAAAGGAGCTGTACGCCTCATTTGGACTCACTTCTTCTTTTTCACATTTAGAATCAGATTTGTTTTCTCTCTAGTTTTATACATTCTACCATCATTAGGTTGGTAACCATTAGAAATAAGTTCTTCTTCTTTTCATTTAAAGCAGTAGTAGATCCTTTACAAGTAAGTGTATTTTTTTCTTATGTACTTTGTTTACTGTGGTTTATATAATAAATCTTCAAAATACATAGTTCGAACATGGTATCAGAGCCGTGAAAAGGTACGTTTTCTTCCTTTTTATCTACTGCTTTCGATCTCAAGAAAAGAAAAATGATTAGGTAGAATCTGTTAGGTTCTTTGATGTTACGTCATCCTTCCAGATCTCCAAAGATTTCTGTTTTTTGTTTCTTGTTGCGACGCTTCTTTCTTGACATGATCGATCGGTTTTTTTGTACCTCTTAGATCTTTTAGATCTAGATAGGTTGCCCTTCGTGATTTTTCTTGCGTCTATTAATGTTCTGTTTTCCGTTTCGCTTATGGTTATCACATATTGATGTTATGCTTTCTTTAAGATCTGTGTTATTCATTCAGATCTGGTTTAAGACTGTTGTTGATTGCATATATGACGTTGCTATTATTTTTTCTCCAAGGATCTGTGTCCAATATTTCCAGATCTGATTTTCTTTATTGCTGTTGAAATGATCGATTGAGCGGCATCTAATAGATCTTTTAGATCCGAATAGGTCCTCTTTTCGAGATCTATTGTCCTTTGTGACTCTTTGTTTTTGCTTCATATATTGTTCTACTGGCTGTATAAGTAACTACGTATCATTTGTTTAAGATCTGTGTCTATTATTCCAGATCTCCTTTGAAGATCTGTGTCCATTTAATTTCCAGATCTGCTTATGAAAAATATTTGTTCTCTTAGCCTCGACATATTATGTTCATGAAAATATTGAATATTCTTTGGTCAAGATCGGTGAGATACCGTATCTGGCAAAATGTTGTTGTTCTAATATGTTTCTCTGTTCAGGTGGATCTTGGTTTGATCTATATTGTTACCATAGTTCATTGCTCTTTTTGCGTTGTCTGTTTAACAATCTGTTAAAAGGACCGCTGTTGATCTCTGCCCTTCTTTACAGGTGATATCTCTCCTTTTTTTCTCCTTTAACCTTGTTAAAGGAGACTGTGGTAAAGTTGTTGTTCTCTTCTTGCTCCTTGCTGTGTGCTTTCTTTTTTCTGTTTTTTGTTTTTCTTTAAGGAATCTGATTTGTTGGCTTAACCTAGCACGATTATCAGTGTTTTAGGAATCCTGCCTTTAAGCATCTCAGGTTCCTCTTGTGTGCTTTCTTCTCTATTATGGCATCTTCAAAGGGTGAAGCTGGAAATGTAGTGGAACCAAAGGTCATTAAATTGGACTTTGGAGATCCACTATATTTACATCCCAATGACACTAGTGGAGGTTCCATTCTTTCCTTTAAGTTGAATGGGACTGAGAACTATAAGGTTTGGTCGTGCGCGATGATCTTGGCTTTAGAGACTAAGAATAAAACTGGTTTTATAGATGGTTCATGTCCTCGTCCTATTGGTGACCCTTATCTTGAGAAACAATGGGATCGATGTAATTCTGTTGTCCTTTCGTGGATATTAAGCTCTCTGACTGAGGATTTGTTCCTTGGTCAAGTTTTTTCAAAAGAATCTTCCCAAGTGTGGGAAGAATTAAAAGAAACTTACGATAAGGTAGATGGATCTGTGACTTTCAATCTATATCAAAAAATAAATTGTTTAAGTCAAAACAATATGTCCGTCTCGGAGTACTACCATAAACTTAATTCTCTTTGGAAGCAATTTGACGCTCTGATTAAACTACCTTGTTGTACCTGCAAAGCATCTCATGATTTTTTACTTCACAATCAACTGATAAAACTCATGCAGTTCCTTATTGGACTTGATGACATTTACCAATCCATCAGAAGTAGTATTTTAACTAGAGACCCTCTTCCCTCTGTCAAAACTGCTTTTTCTCTTGTATCTAGGGAGTAGTCTCATAGAGGAATAAATACTAGCCAAAATCGTGTTAAACCTCAGAGTTCTGCCTTTTTTAGCAAAAGTTTTGAAAACAGACGAAAACCTGGAAAATCTCCAACAAATTTGGTTTGTAAACACTGTGGAAACACAGGTCACACTATTGAAAGATGCTTTAAATTGATAGGTTTTCCTAAAGATTTCAAAATCGGGCCAGACCTCAAAATCAAAGTCAAAATTTCAAACCTCAAAATTCTAACTTCAGAACCACCACTGGAAATGTTACCTCTTCTGAGTCCGTTAATGCTAAACCATCTTTTACTTTTTCAGAAGAGCAGGTTGCAAAATTTTTGAGTCTAATTGATCAAAAACCAAATCCTGATGAAGCGTTTGCCAATATGGCAGGTATGTTTCAAAGTTCTAATTCTGGGTGGATAATAGATTCAGGAGCCAACCAACATATGACTTGTAATTCTTTAGGCTTGGAAAATGTCGTTGACGTTTCTAATCTGAATCTTAGAGTCTGTCATCCTAACGGAACTAAGGCTAATATAAATAAAATTGGCAATCTGAAACTTTCCAATAATGTTACTCTTTTTGATGTTCTTCTTGTTCCTGAATTTAATGTCAATCTCTTATCTGTTCATAAATTAGCCAGGGACAATAAGGTGTTCATAAGATTTGATGAATCCAAATGTTATGTCAAGGACTGTCATCAAATGAGTATAGTGGGGATTGGTAGTCAGAGTGGTGGGCTTTATTTCTTCGACCAAAATTCTAAAACTACCAACTCGATTACTTCTAAAAACTGTGGTATGGTTCATTTTGTTTCTTCTCAACTCTGCCATAGTCGCCTTGGTCATCCAGCTGACCAAGTGCTTCAGGTCCTTAAGGAAAGACTCAATATCAGTAATGACTCTTGTGGTCCTTGTGAAGTTTGCCATAATGCAAAACAAACAAGAGAAAAATTTGGAAACAATATACATAAAACCCAAAATCTTGGAGATCTTATTCATCTTGATGTATGGGGTCCTTACCATGTTTCTAGTAAAGAAAGGTACAATTTTTTCCTAACTGTTGTTGATGATTTTACTAGAGCTGTTTGGGTTTATCTCTTGAAAGAAAAAAATGAGGTTTGTGAATACATTGAAAGCTTCTGTAATTTTCTGAAAACCCAGTTTGGCAAATCGGTCAAAATCTGTAGGACTGATAATGGGACTGAATTTGTTAACCAAAGATTAACTGAATTTTTTGAGTCCAAAGGAATTTTGCATCAAACTTCGTGTGTTTATACACCTCAGCAGAATGGGGTTGTAGAACGAAAACATAGACACTTGCTTAATGTGGCTAGGGCTCTCATGTTTCAGGCTGGAATCCCGCTTAACATGTGGAATGAGTGTGTATTAACTGCCACGTATCTTATAAATAGAACTCCTACGTCTGTCCTAAATGGTAAGAGTCCGTATGATCTGGTTTATGGTTTTCCCCCTATTCTTACTCATTTGAGAAAATTTGGGTGTCTCTGCTTTGCCTTAATTCCTAACATAACTGATAAGTTTTCTCCGAAATCTGAAAAGTGTGTTATGTTGGGTTATGCAAATTCTAAAAAAGGTTATAGACTTTATAGTCTTGACACAAAGAAATTATTTTTTTCAAGAGACGTCAAGTTTTATGAAAGTATTTTTCCTTTCAAAATGAGTAATGATGATATTGAATTGTTAAATACTGAAGGTGTTAATAGTCTTAATTTCTTTGATACTTTGTCTAGTTCTTCTAATAATTTTGATGTTGTGGGGCCCAATGATGAGGATGGTAGATCTACTCATGATGATATTAATCATTTGTCTGAACCTAGAACTAGTAACCATAGTGATCTAGGTAGCCTCATCAGGACTAACAATAGGCAACCTCTAGGCAGCTTTGAAATCCGATATAGTCAAGATTCTTCTTTAGAAGAAGAAGTTGACAGAAGAGTTACCAGTTGGCAGCCTTTGGGCAGTCCTAGCATGGTTGCCAGACACTCTCGTGATGCTGTTCATATAACTGAAAGGAATAGCGAAAATACAAATGAGGATTCTGTAGGTCATATCTCTGAGGGCGATTCTTCCGAAACTCAAACTGTTAGACGATCTGCTAGAACTAGTAGCTTTCCTCGGAAATTTGATGACTTTGTCATAGAGGGTAAAGTTAAATATGGAGTAGAAAGAGTTGTTAATTACTCTTGTCTGTCTGCCGAGAATTTCTGTTTTGTCTCAAATTTAAATAATCTGTTGAGCCCAAAAGTTTTAAAGATGCTTCTAATGATCAAAATTGGTTAAATGCCATGAATGACGAGATGGAGGCTTTACATAGGAATGGTACATGGTTTATCACCGATTTACCTAAGAATAGAAAAGCCATTGGTTGCAAGTGGATTTATAAAATTAAATATAAATCTACTGGTGAAATAGAGAGATATAAGGCTAGGTTAGTAGCTACGGGTTAT